GCAATTCAGATGCTAACCACCCGGAGTTAGCACCCACTCCACAGGTTTGGGGCACAGTTCCCAATAACACTGCCCTCATGAAAGATGCCAGCTGCCAATTTGGGGGACCCTAGGCCACCCACACTTCTGACCAACTGGCTTCAAATTCAAGAGTACTGCAACCGGCCCTCTTAGGTTCAGTAATTCACTAGAATGACACAGAACTCAGGAAAGTGCTATACTTATTACTACAGTTTTATTCTAAAGGATACATACCAGGACCAGTCAGTTGAAGAGATACATAAAGTGAGGTCCTAACACAGCTTCTGTACCCTGTCTGTGTGCAATCAGGACACATCACTCTCCCAGCATATGGGTGGGTTCACTAACCAGGAGGCTCACCCAAGCCTCAGTGTCCAGAGTTTCTATTGTGGTTTCATTACATAGACATAATTGATTGGCTCATTGGCCGCCAGATTGAAGTCAATCTCCATTTCCCCTTCTTTATGCAGGGCTCAGGAGGTTGGGCCGATATCTTGTGGCTCAAAGCACCTGAACCCTGGGTCCGAGTCAAGAATGGAAGGGAAGATCCCCTTTTAGAGCCCTTAGGGTGACCATTTCCACCCTGCCTAAGACAGTCCTAGCTCCTGGATCCTAGCCTAACCTTCAAAGAATGGGTAGTCAACAGGCTTGCTTTCTATTTATGGCCAATACCCTCTCATAGTCTCTGACCTTTCTTCCATATTAAAACGCACCAACTGAGGGGTCTCCCTAGTCTAGTTCTGAGGAGCAGAGGTGGGACGCTGGCCTCTGCAGCAGGCCCGCTGGGAGGCTTCTGCATATTTCATCTGAATGGGAGCCTCCTGTAAGGCTGCCTCTCTGCCTGCTGTCAAGCAGGGAGGTTTGTGTCTGTGAAGTTATCCAAGATGAGGTCCTGGGGTCTCAGAGCACACGGTGCCCTTCCATCTGACCGGTTATCCCCTTCCCTGAGAGTTATGAACAAAAGAATAATTCCTCTTACGTTTAGATGCTGATTATGGGGGAGGGGTGGTAAGAGATGGGGGGGTGGAGGAAATACTTAGTAATCGGAGTATTTGGCTGATTGGTAACTGTTTACAGCTTGTTTCTTTCCAGCGTGTATGTACCCCTTGAAATCATTTTCTTTGTAAATGTTAAAAGCCACATATATATTAAAAAACCCAACCTTGATTACTCTTCTTTGTACTTCAATCAGTAGTGTTTCAGCCTCTGAATAAACTAATTCCTCCACCGTGTCTGTCAAGAAGATTTAGGCCACGTTAAAAAAAAAAAAAAAATCCTGGTAGGGGTCTCAAGAACAACTAGCAATTAAAATCATCTATTTTCTACACTTTGCTGTGTAAACACACTGCTTGATTGATTGCAGTGTCAGGCATGGCTTTGCTCAGAGCGTCATCTTCACCAATCCCGCAGCTCCTGGATGCAATCACTGGGGGCGTGGTAAGTGCTGGGAGGCAGCTCTCAGGGCTAGTGAATCTATTATGCATCGTTAACTTTAGAGCTGAGTGTGATGCTTTGTCCTGAGGACATGCTTCTGGGGGTCACCAGGACTCCCTTCAAATCTCCATTGCTCAGGACTAATGTCTTAATAAACCACCTGGCCAGGGCAAGTGCTGGCAGAGGATCTGGGGCCCCTGTGCTGTCCCTGGCCCCCAACCACAGCCCACAGGCACTTTGCCTAAAGATACTATCCTATCAGGCTTATTCCCAGAGCAACAGACTCCTAGCACCGTAAAACGCTACAGAGGGGAGAGAATGAAATCACTGGGTCCAACCCCTGTGGATTTGCCAGATAAACAATCGCAAAGAGACTCAACTAGCCGGTGCTGGCCATGAACATACGCAAGGTTCCTCAATCCTCATGCCAGGCTCTCCCCTAGTTGGGCTTTAGGGGTGGGAATAATGTTAGGTGGGTTCCCTCTTGCAAAAGTAAGGTGATAATTTTGCACAGCAGTTCAGGTATGATCCTGATTTCAGGCAGAAGAAGGGACTTCTCAAAGCCAGGGTCAGGCTCAAGCGTCCCTGAAACCTGCAGAAAAGTGGCAGTTCTCCATATAAGTGGGTGGCTGTCCACCACCTCATCCACACCTTCCATCCTGGAGCCAAACACTGAGGACTGGGGCTGAGCCCTGGGGCAGAGCCAGGAATGGTATGCAGTGGGAAAGGCGCTTCACTGATCAAATGCTGACATTTTGCATCCTACGTGCCTGTCTTGCCTCACTCTTGTCCTTGTGCTTACTCCAAAGGGTTTAGAAATGGGATGAAGATGGCAAGGGGCCAGGTGACCTGGACAGGAGATTGGCACCGAGAAGAGTTACAAAGATGAGGTACAATGGAGAAGACGTCCCCAGCAGATCAAGCCTATCACACCTGAACCCAGGGTCTGAGTCATGAATGGAAGGCAGGATCCCTTTTTAGAGCCTCTGCGTGACCATTTCTACCCTGCCTAAGACATTTGTCATCCTGGATCCCAGGCTAAACTATTGGGTTGTCAGAAAAGTCATGACACGTATTTGCAACAGATGGCACTAGTTCATTTTTGGAAGTACTAGAGTCATTCGCATCTATGTTGTTGCTATATCGTTTGACAGCTGACAGTTGTAGCTTCACTCTAAAAAAAATTGAGCGATTTGGTTGAGTTCTGGAGATTTTAGAACAAGTTGAAGATGGAAGACCAAACTGTGCATTTTTGCCATATTTTACTGTTTTACATCCATAAAGGGAAGAATGCATGTCAAGCTTGTGAAAAGTTGCATAAAGTTTACAGTGACAATGCTCTACAAGAACGTCAGTGCCAACGATGGTTCACGAAATTCCNAACGGAAAAGCAATTTCCTTCAGAATGACAGACATTCACGAGAAAACACCCGGA